TTCAGAGTGCTGCGGACCTTGGTGGTGGCCCTACTGTGTGGATTATGTTAAGTATTCCACAGCCTGCACAGGTCACAGACTCCTGGGGCTGGCGTTGGGGTACAGCAGGTTAAACTGCCACCGGTAACGCCAGCATCCCACAGAGGTGCGGGTTCAAGTCCCAGCTGCTTCATTTCTGATCCAGCTCCCTGCCAATGTGCCTGGGAAAGCAATGGAAACGGCCTAAGCATTTGGGCCCCTGCCACCCCGGTGGGAGACCAGACGAAGTTCCTGGCTCCTGACTTCGGTCTGGCCCAGCCCTGGCCCTTGTGGCCCCTTTGGGAAATGAACTAGCAGATGGAAGATCTCTCTCTTTCTAATGATGCCTTTCAAATAAAATAAATATATATTTTTAAAAATCATAGACTTCTGGGGGCCGGCACTGTGGCTCACTTGGTTAGTCCTCTGCCTTCGGCGCTGGCATCCCATAAGGGCACTGGGTTCTAGTCCCGGTTGCTCCTCTTCCAGTCCAGCTCTCTGCTGTGGCCCGGGAAAGCAGTGGAGGATGGCTCAGGTCCTTGGGCCCTGCACCTGCATGGGAGACCGGTAAGAAGCACCTGGCTCCTGGCTTCAGATCGGCGCAGCTCCAACCATTGCGGCCATTTGGGGGGTGAACCAACGGAAGGAAGATCTTTCTCTCTGTCTCTCTCTCACTGTCTGTAACTCTACCTGTCAAATAAATAAATAAATAAATAAATATTTTAAAAAAATCATAGACTTCTGAAGTACAGATCCAAAGAAGGATTTACTAATTTATGAAAGTTTGCCAAGTCAGCATTGCAGATTTTATACAATGAAATCATATTTTTTGTTGAAGTCACATATTCCCTGATGCTTTTCACTCTGAAAGTGTCCTGTAGGGCCTTTGGGGAGGCGGCTAGGGGACGCCCACAGCCCATACTGCAGTGCCCGGTTTGAGGCCCAGCTACTCCACTTCCAGTCCAGCGTCCTTGGCAGGCAGCAGATGGTGGCTCAAGTACTTGGGTTTCTGCCATCGTGAGGGGGCTCGTGGTTGAACTCCAGGTTCCTGGCTCAGCCTGGCCCAGCTCTGGGTACAGCAGGCATTTGGGGAGTGAGCCAGTGGACTGATGATGTCTGTATCTTTCTTTCTTCCAAATAAAACAAATTTAGAATGTCATTTAAATACCAAAACATTGTGGGTTATTTGTTTACTTGAGAGGGAGAGAGCTCCCAGCTGCTGCTTCACCCCCCAGATGCCTGCAATGGCCAGGCTGAGGCGAGGGCCCAAGTGGGGAACGGGGTACCAGTCCAAGTCTCCCACGTGGACGGCAGGAACTCAGTCATTCGAGCCGGCGCCGCTGCCTCCCAGGGTCTGCAGGAGCAGGAGGCTGGAGTCAGGAACCAGAGCTGGGATCAAACCCAGGCACTCAGATACGGCACGTGGCAACGTAACTGCTAGGCCAAATGCTCGCCGTGGCATCGCGGTGCAGCACGGGGTGCGACGGCGGCACCCAGTGTCACAGCACAGGTCTGAGCCCCAGCTGCTCTGCTGTTGACCCGACTTGCTGCTAACGCACCTGGGAAGGAAGCAGGCCCCGCTCACCCATGAGAAAGACCAGGTTGGGGTTCCTGGCTCCTGGTTTTGGCCTGGCCCAGACCTGCCTGCTGTGGCCATTTAGGGAACGGACCAACGGATGGAAGCGCTCTCTCTCTCTGCTACTCTGCTTTTCAAATAAATATATAGGTAAGCCTTTAAAAAATAATGCTTGTTGCAGGTTTTTTAGATATCTTTTGTTAGGTTAAGGAGTTAGTTTCTGAATGGATTTGAAATTTGTCAAATATAGCTCATTTTCTGGCTTCGCCCCTAATTCTTCCTCTTATTAACATGGTGGATTGCATTGGTGGGGTTCCTTTCTTATCTCTTACATTTTTTCTTTTTTTCTTGTTTTCTATTGCAGCGATGTGAACACAACACAGCTGTATCCACTTTAAAGGGGACATCTGTGGAGTAGGCAGCACATTCAGTGTTGGGCAACCACTTCCTGTCTGGTTCTCACCCACAAGGAAACGTGTCAATTGAGCGACTGCTCCCTGCTCTCCCCTTCTCTCGCCCCTGGCCTGCACCCACTGCTTTCTGTCTCTATAGATAGAAGATGCCCTTATTCTGGATATTTCTTTCTTTTTGTTATTTTTCTTTAAAGACTTATTTATTTAATTCGAAAGGCAGTTAGAGAGAGAGACAGTGAGAGACCTTGTATCTGCTGGCTTGCTCCTCAAATGGCTGCTGGGTTGGTCCAAAGCCAGGAGCTTCTTCCAGGTCTCCCACGTGGGTGCAGGGCCCGAGCACTTGGGTCACCTTCTGCTGCTTTCCCAGGAGCATTAGCAGGGAGCTGGATGGGACGTGGAGCAGCCGGGACTCGAGCCGGTGCCCACATGCGATGCCGGCCTCGGGCAGTGGCTGTTGCTGGCTCTGCCACAGGAGCAGACCCCAGAGTGCTCGTTTCTGTTCCAGGAGGAGCCTTCTCCCCACCTCCAGGCATCCAAGTGTGGTGCACCTCGCAGGTCTGGCCACGCTCTGGGAAGCCGTGCCTCCCCCCGCGCCTCCACCTGCACCCCCACGGTGGCAGCAGATAGGCAGTGCGGACCAGAGTGGACCTGGCAGTGGCCCCGCGGCTCTGCTCTCCACCCCCCCACCCTGTGCTGCAGCACACACCCACCCCTACCTTCCCACTCACTTCCTGAGTCCACCCTTTGCCCACTTCCTCCTGAGCGCAGGTGCGACTCGTGTTCCTCCTCCACCCCATTCTCAGTAAAATGAGTGCCGTCTGCTGGCCCGGCGCTCATGGTCACGGGCGCACAGCTGAGGGCACCGCTGCGGGGGGGTGGGGGGGTCTGCCTCTCTCCCGCAGACTGTGTCAGCTCCCAGTGTCCCCTCAGGACCTCCCAGTGTGCACACCCCAAACACGGCGCCCCACGCTGGCACAAGCTACCCTGCGTGGTGTTCTGCTGTTTTTCCAGATTCCTGGATTGCCACGTGCGAAGAGGGTGGTTGGCAAAGGGAAGCTTGGTACGCAGGGCTTTCTGGCGGGGCACGGGGTCCCCGGTGAGAACGCTCCACAGATAAGCAGCTTTCCGGGTACACGGGCAGCACAGGTGGTTGCCCATCACCGGGCACGCGAGTGGCTGGCCTGCTCAGGGCTGCTCGGACCCGATTTCCTACTACAGTATTTACCCTCTCGGCTGACCCCAGTCCAGCGCTGGAGCTGACCCCAGCCTCCTGCCTGCTTCAGTTAGGTGTGGGCTCCTGGGAGGGTTCACGGGACAATACCTGGGGCTCAGGCAGGAGCTACTGGAGTGGAGACTTTTTTCTTGACTGGGGCCAGGCCAAAGCCAGGAGCCAGGAGCGTCCTCCGGGTGTCCCACGCGGGTGCAGGGGCTGAGGCACTCAGGCCATCCTCCACTGCTTTCCCAGGCCACAGCAGACCCGGACTGCAAGCAGAGCAGCAAACTGGCGCCCGTAGGGGATGCCGGCGAGCGGACAGCGGTTCACCTGCTACGCCACAGCGCCGGCCCCGGCAGGCTCTTTCCAAAGGCAGACCAACTGCTGAGCTTCGGCTCTGAGGGCGCACCCCCGGGACTAAGGGACCGTCCTGTGTGGGGGCAGACAAAATGGGCTCTGCAGAGTGATGGCCAAGAATCGGGGCAGAGCGGTGTCCCTGGGCCCTCGGAGGAGCTGGATGCAGCCCCATGTTACACGAGCAGCAGCCTGCGCCTGCAGGCCTGACCTGAGCGGTGCAGTCACAGCCCTGGCCCGTGAACGCCAGCCCCACGGCCCAGACACACTCCGCCATTCCGGGTCTGCTCCGTCATTTAACGCATCTGCGAGCGCGGTTTCCTTTTATTTATGTTTACAAAACTGGGAAAATACCATACTCTGCTGAAATATTTCAGTTGCTACCTTTTCAGGTCAGTTAGATCTGTCATTATATTTTTAACCCTGTAAATACTCCATTCTAGAAAACACACCGTTAACTCAACAAATTTCCCACTAAGAACCACTTTACATTTTAAAATACTTTTCTCTATTAAAAGGCATAATGAGATATCTGGTTCCACTGTTTCTCCAGTGGCTGGCCGCAGCGCGTGCATCCTGCTCGGGCGTGGCCCTGGAAGGACGCCCGTTCACAGGCCCATCAGCGTGGCGCCCGGGGCCCGCGGGGAGGAGGCGGCTCCAGGAGAAATGCTGCCGCAGGAGACGCGCACGGACCTCCCAGGCGGCTCCCGCCTGTCCACTGCTCGCACCCCACTGGGCCAGGTGCCGTGGACACGGCGGTGGACACGGCGGTCAGACCTCGCGGCACACGTGGCTTCAGGGACAGCACTCGGGCCCCGGTGGTGGCACCGCTGTCTGGGACGCTGGTGAGCACGCTTTCCTGTCTGCGCTCCCACGTGGTGCGGACGGCCCTGGAAGCCTGGACTCTCGCTCTGCAGGCTCCCTTGCCGCCGCGGCCCTCGGGAGGCAGGGGCTGCCGCGTCCGTGGAGACGCAGGTCCCGCGGGGACACAGGCAGCTGCAGGGGCAGCAGCGGCTGGCACCTGGGCGGTTTTGCTTTCCCGACGAATCCTCACTGGACGGCGCGGGGCCCGACAGAGCGAGCCCATCGCGCCCACGGCACCACGCGGCACAGCGGGCTGGGTTTTGTTTGCTGCACGGGCGAGCACCTTCTCGGTCACGTGCTGGGACAGGACGTCCTAGGCGACACACACCCACCCGTGAACACGGGTGTCACGCCGAGGAGGGTGAGACATGTGCGCCATGACAGGTACAGGGCACCGAGACCAGTCTGAGGGAACCGCAGGTCCACACAGCCACCGCCGCTCACCTAACACCCGCCCACACGGAAACCACCGGAAACACGAGGCAGAACGGCGCGCGGCACTGCAATGGTTAACTTTCCCATCTTTGCTGAGCTCGGTCGGAATGAAACACTAAGACGTGGCTCCACCCTTCGCTGCAATCAGGCAGTTTTTGTTTTATAAAACTACGAGTTGTAATTATTTTCATACAAAATCATACAAAAATATACGCTTTTCTTTTTTTCACACTGCAACAAACATAAGTAGAAACGCTAGTAAATTTTCAAAGCACCACAATGGAAGTTATCATTTCACACGTCTGACCGGTGTGCAGGGCAACCTAACAAACGCCAACACTGAACGTCGCGGCGCTCACGCAGCACGTGCGGGAGGCACGCGGCTGCAGGACCGGGACTGGGACCGGGAGCGGCGGCCTCCGCTCAGCCCTGTTCCTCCGGGTCTTCCCCCTCGCTGTCGTCGTCGTAGTAGAAGATGTCGCGGAACAGGAACACCTGCCTGGGTGCCGCGGGCGCCTGCACTGCTCGGCCCTTTCTCGCCAGCTTCTTCTCCAACTTTCCTTTCAGCAGGGGTAGACTGGTCTCGTAAAGGTAGTCGATGATCTCTAGGGAGAACAAAGTGAATTCTGCAGTCACCCGTCTGTGCCATGTCCCTTGTCAATGTCCGAGCCCTGTGACTCCGGCCCCCAAGGCCCTGGTCTACTCGGCTTACTCGCGCTGACTTGCTCGGGTCTCGCAGACTCAGCTCAGGCAGCCACTGCTTTAACCCCATTTTCTAAAGGAGGACACCGCGGCACAGAGACACGAAGAGACTTGCCCCAGGTCACGGAGTTGACGGGATTCACACCGAGGCGTGCTGCCTGCTGCGCACACACAGGCGCTTTACCACGTGCCCCGGGGCCCAGCGCCACTCCAAGCCCGGCCCCGGGAGCTTCCTGCAGAACTCCAGGCCCCAGACTCGGCCCGCATGCCAGGTTCTGTGGGTCTGGGACAAGGTGCAGGAACCCCCTCGTTTTCAGCCGTTCCCCACGCAGCTCTGATGATGGGAGTGTGGGACTTACACATCTAAACCACCCACAAATCCAGCAAAGAGGGAACCGGGCATTCCACACGCTTTCTGGAGCTGTGTGTGGTCTGTGTGTGCACACGTGTACTGTGGGTGCAAGCATGTGGCACGCGCACAGGCACACGTGTGCATGAGCTCAGGCCAGCAAGACCAGCAGCACTCACAGGCGGGCCGTGACCGTGTTTTGCGTGTCCCGTACTTCGCTGAACACGCCGGGAAGCCCAGTCGGGTCGGTACTGCAGTCCGCTAACTGCAGACTGAGCAGCCAAGGCTGCGGGGGTTAGGTCGCTCGCCCACGTGACTCCACCCCCAGCGCACGGCACCAAACGCCGCGTTCCTAACTCTGCAAACGTGCAGAACTCACCTGGGAAAGTCTTGTTCTGCCAAAACGGAACACAGGTGGCCTTCAGCCTATAAAATTTAGTTTGTACGAAAGACGGAGGGACGTCACTTCAGAAAGGAAATGATGCAAAGTTAGTGTCAGCTTAAAAACGTGTCATCTCCGTACTTGTGCCGTAAGCAGAAGACTCGGGCGAGCTCAACCAACAAGAACTTCTGATCCTGAACATGAAATCATCGTGCCCAAAACGTGTGTTAAAAACAGGACACACACGTGGGGCCGGTGCGGTGGCACAGTAGGTTAATCCTCTGCCTGCGGCGCCGGCATCCCATATGGGCGCCGGTTCTAGTCCTGGCGGCTCCTCTTCCTATTCAACACTCTGCTAAGGCCTGGGAAAGCAGCAGAGATGGTCCCAGTACCTGGGCCCCTGCACCTGCCTGGGAGACCCGGAAGCAGCTCCTGGTTCGACTTTGGATGGGCACAGCTCTGCCTGTTGTGGCCATGTGGGGAGTGAACCAGCGGATGGAGGACCTTTCTCACTGTCTTTCCCTCTCACTGTATATAACTCTGCCTCCCAAATAAATAAATAAATAAGATCTTTAAAAAACAAACAGGACGGACACAATGAAACACCACTGTTCATCTGGGTAAGCACAGAGAACTGGAAGGACAGGACGGGTTCTGTTTAAACTGAGACGGTCGGCATCACCAGCTGAGAAGACACCGGGTACGGCAGGCAGGCAGCAGGTGCTGGGCCCCGCCCTGGCGCCTCGAACACAGCAACAGCGGGGCCTCACGGCAGCTCCGCCAAGAAGCTACTGCTCTCGCCCCTCACCTGGGGAGACGGGAAACCGAGGCTGTCCGTGGCAGCACAGCGGGCCTCCTGGCGGGTGGTGCGGCCCAGGTCCTACCCTCCTGACCACCACGCCTGCTGGGCACAGCTGATGCTCCACTCTGCAAGGCTCAAGACACGGATGCTGAGGATGTGCGGGTGTGTTTCAATCTACAGTGCATTTCAGTATTCAATGACCCTAACGGTAACGGTGACTCCAGGAAGGTCGTATCCGTTACTGCAGACGTGAGAGCACCAGATCCTGTCCACTGCTCTTCAGGGCGGCCGGGCACCAGGCTGGTTCCGTACAAGCGCTCCTGAGTAAGACCCGGGACTGAACGCCAGGGCACTCTGGGGCTGCTCCCTCACTTGCTCTAAGAAATGGTTCCGTAGGGCCTTCCGGGGACTGAAGCAGCAAGTGTCGGGGGAGTCTCAGCTTCTTACCAACATCAACTATTTTCTTACGTCGTCTCCCACAGACTTCTCAGGTTAGCAGGGGACAGCACTGTGGTGCAGTGGGTAAGGCCCGCCACCGTCATGCCAGCATCCCACATGGGCAGCAGTCCTAGTCCTGGCTGCCCACTTCCGATCCAGCTCCCTGCTAACGCGCTGATTCCCCCAAGTAATTAGACCGGACAAAGCGCCTGTCTGGACGACTCACTGCCTCGTCACTGAGGCAGAGTATCCACAGACCTCAACGGTCTGCCAAAGTCAGTCTGACTGAATGGCGATGCTTCCTTGTTACAACTAGTTTCCCACTGGAAAACTGGAATGGAGAGGTAGGCCACAGGTATGATGTACCTCCCAAAATCTGCTACTACAAAACACTTAGGTAAAATGATGTACAAGGCTCTGAGAGAGGAAAAAAGAAAAGGAAAAATGAAAAACGTATGCTTAGTTCCCTGAACATCTTATCTGCCTAGCAGCTCAAAGCCACCCCCTTTTTCAAAGATTTATTTTATCTGAAAGGCAGAGTTAGAGAGAGAGAGAGGGAGACACAGATCTTCCTTCGGCTGGTTCACTCCCAAAATGGCTGCAACGGCCAGGGCTGGGCTAGGATGAAGCCAGGAGATCCATCCAGGTCTCCCACACGGGTGACAGGGGCCAAGCACTTGGGCATCTTCCTCTGCTTCCCAGGTGCAGTGGCAGGGAGCTGGATTGGAAGTGGAGCAGCCGGCTTGAACCAGTGCTCACATGGGATGCCAGCGCTGCAGGGGGCAGCTTAACGCTCTGTGCTACAACGCTGGCCCCAGCTCAGAGCCTTTCACCACAGTTTGCCTTTAGTGGGCCTTTAGCCTCGCAGTTAAGATGCCTGGATCTACAATGGACTACGGACTTGATTCTGGCTCCTGACTCCGACTTCCTGTTGCTGCAAACCCTGGGAGGGGAGGCAGCAGTGACGGCTCGAGCAAGTGGGCTCCTGCCACCACGTGGGAGACTGCACTGAGTTCCCGGGGCCTGGGTCTGGTCCTGCCCGGCCCCATCTCTTGTGGGCATTTGGGGAGTGGACAAGTGGATGGGAGCTCTCTCTGCCTCTCAAACACTAAATTTAAACAAATATGGTTTTTACTGTGCTAGCAAAGTCAATGTTTTTCAGCCATCATTTAGATAAAACTTCTCTATGCAACATTAATTTCAGCCTTGCTCTTTAAAATCATTTATTAAAAGTCATCTCTACCTTTTAGTTAGCTTAGTATTCAACAAATGGTCTTACCCTATGGCAGCAGCAAGATCTTCCCAGTCTATTTCATTAGAATCTTCCACATTTATTTCATACAACCTATAGAGGAAAAAATACAAATCCAATCTTCACGCAAAAATCAGCATGACGGACATCTCTGTGGACTCAGAACACAAAGAACGGGAAGGCGTCAGTGCCTTTATCCCCATTCCAGCTCCCTCACGCACACGTGTGCGTACACACACACACACACACACACACACGCCGAGGTCTCAGTGAAGTGGGCGCCCCAGCCCCAGGGCAGCCCGAGGGCACTGAGCGAGAGAGCTAGACACGGGCTCCAAGCCAGCTCCTCCGTGCTGGTTTCTCGCAGCACACCCACACCTCTGCCACGGAGCAGACACGAGCAGCAGGTCCGCACTCAGCACTCGCTCTGTGCTAACAGCTGCAGGTGCACTAACACACAGCTCACGGGTGGTGAGGACCCGCCCCGTCTACGGACAAGGCGATGGAGCCCAGTCACCAGGTGGTGCTACTGCTGACTGGAGGCCGCCCGTGGCCCTGCCCAGCTGTGCTGCCTTTCCCGGAGGGGAGAGGAGGTACAGAGTCCGGAGGGGAGAGGAGGTACAGAGTCCGGAGGGGAGAGGAGGTAGAGTCGGGAAGCACGCCGGGAACATACAGCTCATGACAGAGAGGAGAATGAGGTGGACACAGCGGCTGCTGCGCTTCCTGTTCCGCGACCGGGGGCCCAGGTCTGCGGGATTCCCGGGCTTCCTGAGACCTGCCCACGTCGTCCCTTCCTTGGAGGCCTCCACAGCCTGCGGGGAGGACTCTGCCAAGGCCCAGGGCCAGCGCGTGCCGGGCAGGAGGGCTCGTGTGACTCCCTCCGGCCTCAGAGATCTCTTGCCCACAGCAGGAGCTTCCGAGGCCTCCCCAGCCACTCACGGAGCACACAGAGTGGCACTTCCCGCTAGCCTCCCACTGACACGATGACTCTCGTGTGCATCAGAGATGAGGAAACCGCGACTCGGAAAGGGGGCTGCGCGCCCACAGTGACAGGCATGGAAAGTTCTGGATACTGGATAACGGAGGGGAACCCCAGTCACTGCAGCGCGGACCCCGCTGCGCCAGCTGCTCTAGGGCTGCTAGGAAGGCAGGCGTTTCTGCTTCCCTACCTTTCGATGAGCTTGATCTTGGCCTGCAGGGCGTTCACGCCGCGGTAAATGTCCTGACCGTGGTTCATCCTCTTGGTTAGGATCTCGGTCCTACATTAGAAGAAACGAAAATTGGCTTTACTTTCAGGAACACAGCTTCTGTGAAAATCTCCCAGGTTTCTGTCACCTGACACACTACTGACACAGAACTAATTTCTTTCTTTTTTTTTTTTTTGACAGGCAGAGTGGACAGAGAGAGAGAGAGAGAGAGAGACAGAGAGAGAGAAAGGTCTTCCTTTTTGCCGTTGGTTCACCCTCCAATGGCTGCCGTGGCTGGCACGCTGCAGCCGGTGCATCACGCTGATCCTGGTGCTTCTCCAGGTGCTTCTCCTGGTCTCCCATGGGGTGCAGGGCCCAAGCACTTGGGCCATCCTCCACTGCACTCCCGGGCCACAGCAGAGAGCTGGCCTGGAAGAGGGGCAACTGGGACAGAACCCGGTGCCCCAACCGGGACTAGAACCCAGTGTGCCGGCGCCGCAAGGCGGAGGATTAGCCTATTGAGCCACGGCGCTGGCCAGAACTAATTTCTAATTTGTTAGCTCATCTATGCAAATATTTACCAACAACAAGAATATATCTAGTTTCTTAAAAAAAAAAAAATAAGTGGAGGGGCAGGCACTGCGGCACAGCAGGACAGGCTGCCACGTGGGCCTGCGTCCCACACTCGAGTGGGGGTGAGTCCTGGCTACTCCGCCTCTGCTGCAGCTCCCTGCTGATCACCTGGGAAGTGGTCCGACAGCTCAAGCACTGCCACGCCGGTGACCAGGAGAGTTCCTGGCTCTTGGTTTCAGTCTAGTCTAGTCCCAACTGCTGTGGCCATCTGGGGAGAGAAGTCTTCCATCTGTTGGTTCACTCCCCAACCAGTGGATGAAGATTTCTGTGTCTCTCTCTCTCTTTTTTTGCCTTTCAAATAATATACAGATCTTAAATAAAAATCTTGGGGCCGGTGCTGTGGCGCACTAGGTTAATCCTCCACCTGCAGTGCTGGCATCCCATATGGGCACTGGTTCTAGTCCTGGCTGCTCCATTTCCGATCCAGCTCTCTGCTGTGGCCCGGGGAAGCAGTAGAAGATGGCCCAAGTCCTTGGGCCCCTGCACCCGCGTAGGAGACCAGAAAGAAGCTGCTGGCTCCTGGCTTCAGATGGGCGCAGCTCAGGCCATTGCGGCCATCTGGGGAGTGAACCAACGGAGAGAAGACCTTTCTCTCTGTCTCTCCCTCTTACCGTCTGTAACTCTACCTCTCAAATAAATGGATGAAATCTTAAAAAAAAAAAAAAAAATCTTTAGCTAATGCTAAAGGAAACCACGGGAAATGTATTTCTGACTGATCACAGGGCAGGTGGATGTCTCTCACCACGGCCAGCTCTTGGAACGCTGGACGAGAGACAGCTCCGTAAACTGAGAGACGACTTGATGATCTCTCTAGCGCCCGACGCTAATGCTGAAGGAAACGGCAGCCTGCAGTGCCCAGGGAGAGCAGCAGCAGGAGACGTTACACACGTGCTCCCCTTCAAGAGGACCCGGGCAGGCGCCGTGCCGCAGGTCAAGCTGCCACTGCACGCCGTCTCTCGTCAGGGCGGCGGGGACGCCGCAGGTCAAGCTGCCGCTGCACGCCGTCTCTCGTCAGGGCGGCGGGGACGCGGCAGGTCAAGCTGCCGCTGCACGCCGTCTCTCGTCAGGGCGGCGGGGACGCAGCAGGTCAAGCTGCCGCTGCACGCCGTCTCTCGTCAGGGCGGCGGGGATGCGGCACTTCTCCACTTCCCGTCCAGTTTCCCGCTGATGCACACCCCGGGAGGCAGCATCATGGCTCAAGCACTGTGGGGTCTGTCACCCACGTGGGAGACCCAGACCGAGTTCTGGGCTCCCGGGTTTGGTCCGGCTCAGCTCTGGCTGTCGCAGGCGTTTGGGGAAGTGAACCAGGAGATGGAAAGATGGAAGATCTCTCTTTCAAATAAATTAAAAAAAATTTTTTAAGATTGATTTATTTGAGAGGCAGAATTAGAGAGAGAGGGAGAGACAAAGAGAAAGGTCTTCTGTTTATTGGTTCACTCCCTAAATGGCCGCAATGGCCAAAGCTGAGCTGATCCGAAGTCAGGAGCCAGGAGCTTCTTCCGGGTCTTCCACGCTGGGTGCAGGGGCCCAAGGGCTTGGGCCGTCTTCTACTGCTTTCCCAGGCCAGGGCAGCCGGACAAAAACTGGTGCCCATATGGGATGCTACTACTTAGCCACAGTGCTGGCCCAGTAAAAACTTCTTAAAAAGAAAAAAGAGCAGCATCCGCCACAATGTGATTAATGAATCATCAGCTTTTGCGTGTCCGTCCGTGACAGGAGGTATCTGACGCTGCCGTGTCCACGTGTCCCCCGTGACAGGAGGTATCTGACGCTGCCGTGTCCACGTGTCCCCCGTGACAGGAGGTATCTGACGCTGCCGTGTCCACGTGTCCACCCGTGACAGGAGGTATCTGACGCTGCCGTGTCCACCCGTGACAGGAGGTATCTGACACTGATGTGTCCACACGTGACAGGAGGTATCTGACACTGCCGTGTCCACGTGTGACAGGAGGTATCTGACACTGCCGTGTACACGTGTCCCCTGTGACAGGAGGTATCTGACGCTGCCGTGTCCACGTGTCCCCCGTGACAGGAGGTATCTGACGCTGCCGTGTCCACGTGTCCCCCGTGACAGGAGGTATCTGACACTGCTGTGTCCACGTGTCCACCCGTGACAGGAGGTATCTGACACTGCCGTGTCCACGTGTCCACCCGTGACAGGAGGTATCTGACACTGCTGTGTCCACGTGTCCACCCGTGACAGGAGGTATCTGACGCTGCCGTGTCCACGTGTCCCCCGTGACAGGAGGTATCTGACACTGCCGTGTCCACGTGTCCGTCCGGAACAGGAGGTATCTGACACTGCCGTGTCCACGTGTCCCCCGTGACAGGAGGTATCTGACGCTGCCGTGTCCACGTGTCCCCCGTGACAGGAGGTATCTGACGCTGCCGTGTCCACGTGTCCCCCGTGACAGGAGGTATCTGACGCTGCCGTGTCCACGTGTCCACCCGTGACAGGAGGTATCTGACGCTGCCGTGTCCATGTGTCCACGTGTGACAGGAGGTATCTGACGCTGCCGTGTCCACGTGTCCCCCGTGACAGGAGGTATCTGACGCTGCCGTGTCCCCCGTGACAGGAGGTATCTGACACTGCCGTGTCCACGTGTCCGTCCGGAACAGGAGGTATCTGACGCTGCCGTGTCCATGTGTCCACGTGTGACAGGAGGTATCTGACGCTGCCGTGTCCACGTGTCCCCCGTGACAGGAGGTATCTGACGCTGCCGCTCTCACAGCCATTCAAGTTTACGGGTTTGACAGGCATCACGTCAGCACACTTCAATGCTACTGAAGCTAAGTCCACATTCAGGGTCCCAGTCTCTTATGTTTTACTTAAATTAAAAGAGAAACTTTGCATGTTAACTTCACAGTGCTGGCTCTGAGGCAGCACCGTCCTTGGTCATGCCCCCGCCCCGCCCTGTTAAACAATACCACCTTGTTTTCAGTGCACATTGAGGTGAGGGAACACGGATCTGCTGGTTCACACCCTGAATGCCTGGAATGGCTGGGGCTGGGCCCGGCCAACACCGGGATCAGGAACTCAACCCAGGTCTCTCCCACGGGCAGTGGGAATCACTGCTGCCTCCCAGGGTGCACCTGGCAGGAAGCTGGAGTCAGGAGCAGAGCTGGGAATCCAACCCAGGCTCTGACGTGGAATGTGGGCATCCAGACACCAAGCTGAACACAGCACCTCTCCTTTTTAAAAATAATCCATGTGAACGGCAGAGTGACAGAGGGAGAGGAGAGGAAAAGGGAGAGAGAGAGACGGAGAGGGAGGCATCAAGATCCTCCGTCCACTGTTCCACTCCCCCAAAGGCTGCGACAGCTGAGGCTGGGCCAGGCCAACGCAGGAGCTCCAGCCTGGTTGCCCACATGAGTGGCAGGGACCCAGACCCTTGGCCCATCCTCTGTTGCTTCCGGGTAATCAGCAGAGAGCGGGACTGGAAGTGGAACGGCCGGGACTCCGATACGGATGACAGCATCACCAGCAGCGGCTTAACCCTCGGCCCCAGAATACCAGCTCCACTCCTCCTTTTTAACACTGACACATCATCCTCCAGTTTAGGGTTGTAAACCCACTCTCTCTTTAGCCTAAAATACATGGGTAGAAAAGACTGCTTCAGGGCCAACGCTGTGGTGCAGTGGGTTAATCCTCCACCTACAGCACCGGCATCCCAGTTCGAGTCCAGTTCGAGTCCCGGCTGCTCCACTTCTGATCCAGCTCACTGCTGTGGCCCGGGAAAGCAGTGGAGGATGGCCCAAGTGCTTGGGCCCCTGCACCCGCGTGGGAGACCTGGAAGAAGCTCCTGGCTTCAGATTGGCATAGCCAATTAGGGAGTGAACCAATAGCTAGAAGATTTCTCTCTCTCTCTCTCTCTGCCTCTTTTCTCTCTGTGTATAACTCTGAATTTCAAATAAATAAATCTTTAAAAAAAAAAAAAAAGACTGCTTCATGCACATTATACCCTTTTCCATCCCAAACCTGATCCATTCTTTGTAGTTTATTTCCAAGTGTGTGACTTCTATTAAAATAAGCATGGTGCAACAGGCTTGTAAGGTATGAGTGAACCAGCAGATGGGAGTTCTCTGTCTCTCCCCATCTTTCTCGGCCCCCCGCCTTCAGAAGGAATAAATCTTAATAAAGAAAGAGAGAGACACAGCGCGAGCTCCCTGCATCTCTGCCTCCTGGCTGATCGTGTGACCCTGACATCCTCTTGCCTCATTTGATGCCTGGACCACTGGGCCCCCGATCTTTGTGAACTGTAAAGTGAAGTAAATCTCCCCCCCTAAGTATCTTCTACTTTAGCTAACGTATCGAAGAGCTGACAAGCGCAGTGTCCTCCTGGGGCTGGAGAAGCTGCACAGGCAAGGCTCACTGGGCACGCTCAGGCCTGCACCTGTGTCCATGTGACTGCCGCGGCCTCACTTCAGACGGAGCCACGGGAACTGCTGAGCTACAGAGTTCAATGAAACGCAGAGCTGTTACTGGGCACCAGGTGTGCGAGTTCTCTTCTGAACATTAGTTTCACAATATTTTGTTAAATGCTGCAAATATAACTCTTGTTTAACAAAAGAATTAGAGACAAAAAATTCAAATTCTTTAAGAGGAAGCCACTCCTCAATGAGTCAGGGCGCACAAGGGTAATTTAAATCACCTGCCAACGCCTCGGGGCTGGAGGTGATCACTCCTGGCACGTACGCTGTCTACGTGGCAGTTACATTGTTTTTTATAATTTATTTATTTATTTGAAAGGCCGAGTTAGAGAGAGAGAGAGAGGTCTTCCATCTGCTGGTTCACTCCCCGGATGGCTGCAACGGCCAGAGCTGAGCTGATCCAAAGCAGGAGCCAGGAGCTTCTTCCGGGTCTCTCACGCAGGTGCAGGGCCCCAGCACTTGGGTCATCCTCTGCCACTTTTCCAGGTACAGTATTAGGGAGCTCGATTGGAAATGGAGTAGGCAGGTCTTGAACCGGTGCCCACATGGGATGCTGGCATCCCAGGCAGTGGCTTTCACCCACTATGCCACAATGCCAGCCCCAGTTACACATTTTTTAAAATATCACCTTTTATTTTAACAAGAGGCAGAGACACTGAAAGACAGACAGACAGAGGTCCTATCTGTTGGTTTACTCCCCAAAATGGCCAGGCTGAACCTGGGAGCCAGTGACTCAATCCAGGTTTCCCACGGGGGTGGCAGGGGCCCAACTATTTGGACAGTGCCTGATGCTTCCCAAGATCCAGATTAGCAGGAAGCTGGAATCGGGGACGGAGCTGGGACCTGAACCCACAGACTCGGACACATGACGTGGGCACCTTAACTGTTACATCAAAGCCTGCCCCATACTCTTTCCTATGTTTGCAAAATTTATCTGAGCAGATACAGACAGAGGGAAGAGAGGGCGAGAGAGGGAGGGAGGGAGGGAGGGAGGGAGTGAGAGTGAGAGTGAGAGTGAGAGTGAGAGAGAGAGAGAGAGAGAGAAGGAAGAGTGGTTCTGGTTCACTCCCCAAATGCCCACAATGGCTGGGGCTGGGCCAGGCGGAAGCTGGGGGCAGGGAGCGCAATGCAGGTTTTCCACATGGGCGGCAGGAACCCAACTCCTTGAGCCATCACGGTGTCTCCCAGAGTCTGCACTGGCAGGAGGCTGGAATCAGGGCCTGGAGCTGGGGCCTCTGATGCGGGACACGGGCGTCCTGACCGGCATCTTGGCAGCTAGGCCAAATGCTCGCCCCCACTTCCATATTCTCAGTAGCTCCACTCCCAGACCCACGGCCAGAGCGAGACCATCCTGGTCAAATCTATGTAAGAAACCTTAAAACTTACCACTTACTTTTACACTGCATCCAATTTCTGGTTTCCACTTTAGCTTCCACTTCTACCCAAGATATGCCCTTGTAGAGCTTTTCCCGCACAATTGACAGGCGCCTTTCAGGATTTTCCTGCAGTTTAGAATCCACCTCTTCTAACTCCTGGAGAGACATTTTCTTTAAAATCACTTCCTTGACAGCCTTGATTAGTTTCTGGGTTTCCGTCTTACTCCAAGCACCATGATTTATTTCTACAGACATAAAAGGACAGTCTTGCTTTTTGCTGCCAAACACAGTATTAAAAATGATAAATCAGATACTTCCCAGATGTGCCACAGGGCAGGATCTCAACTGCACCAGCCTAAAACTGTCACACATGCTCACGTGCACAAATGAGATTGCCAAAGCAGTCATGGATTCTTAACAACCAAAGCCCAAAGCTACTAAATAGTAAACTCTTTTCTTAATTTTTTGTGACTTCAAAAAAGTTACTTTCCCTGGTTCTGGGAGCGATGTCTCTTGCATGAGGTTGTGAGGACTGCAAATATTTACTGTATTAAAAAAGAAAATAGTGCGATGACTTTTATTTCGCAAACGTGCCTTCCCCCAAGTTCCTAGGGTGACATAACCGCCCAGTAACTAACACAGTGTGTGATGATGATGGTGCCCTAGGATTTCGGAGGCCAGTCATCCATGCAGGCTGTCACAAACCTCAACGGTTCACTCACGATTTAGATGGATTTAAAAAAAAAAAGACTTATGTTATGTATTGGAAAGGCCATGGCTGGGCCAGGGGCTTCTTCTGGGTCTCCCATGTGGGTGCAGGGGCCCAAGCACTTGGGCCACCTTCTGCTGCTTCCCCTGGAGTGTTAGCAGGGAGCTGGATCAGAAGTGGAGCAGCCAGGACATGAGGAATGCCAGCATGCCGGCCCCAATCATCTAGATTTTGCTTCTTTGACATTCAAAGAATTGGCTGCACTGCTCTACCCGCGTGGCCAGAATATGCAGGCCACTGTCCACACAGTAACCCCGACTGAGGGGGTTTCTTAAAGAGCGGGTGTTTTAATGTGAAGACTTGAACCAAGGCCACTGTTTATGAAAGAGGAGAAAACGAGACCAGAGGTTTGGGAAAAGGCCCTGCCTGATGGGCTAAGTGAACAGCTGGCCTCCCTCCCACATCCCCTGAACTCCTGTGCCCACGTCCACCCACAGGGCAGCTTCCTTGGGAACCAGTCCACGGCTGTTACATTTGGTATGAAAGTGACTGGAGTGGTGGAAATCATCCTTGTCGGTAAAAGCTACATGATTTCACCAAATACACGAGAACATGAAATGAATTAGCAGAGGGAACAGCTTAAAAAACAACAGCGAGGGGCCGGCACTGTGGCGTAGTAGGCTGAGCCTCTGCCTGCGGCACTGGCATCCCATATGGGCGCCTGTTCAATCCCAGCTGCTCCTTTTCTGATCCAGCTCTCTGCTTACGGCCTGGGAAAGCAGTGGAAGATGGCCCTGGCTTCGGTGTGGCCTAGCACCACCTGTTGTGAACATCTGGAGAGAGAACCAGCAGATGGAAGCTCCCTCTCTGTTGCTCCCTATTATCCGCCTTTCAAATAAATAAATTTTAAAATAAAAAACCCAGCACTCTCAAAGGGGCCTGGAAACTTCTGGCCACTAGAAAGTACTCCTCGACCGCGGTGGGCCTGAGGCCCCCACTTACGGCTGCTGATCTGGGAGAACTTCAGGGCCACGGACAGGCTGCTCCGGGACACCATCTCGCCAATCTTCTTCCAGTTGTTTCCGTGGAGAGTGTGGTATTTCTTCAACTTCTCGGTATCTCTTTTGCTGTACCTACGAGAAAGGGGGGCATGCTTTACAAGTCAGACCAGGAGATCAAAATCGACACAGGAGTCCCCCACTACCCACACACAAGTAATCAGCACAGCTACATGGACTTTTTATCATCAGAAGGACAAACGTTTTAATTCTAAAAATCTCATTTCCCCACGAATTCTCACAGGTAGAAAGTGGGACCTTGGCTGCCAACAGTAATTTGCCAAGAGCATTCTGTGGAGTCCCGATTCAAAGGGTGTCTCAGTGGATCTCCAGACAGGGCCTGCTCACAGCTGGGTGTCTCAGTGGATCTCCTGACAGGGCCTGCTCACAGCCAGGCGTCCTCAGTGGATCTCCAGACAGGGCCTGCTCACAGCCGGGCGTCTCAGTGGATCTCCTGACAGGGCCTGTCACAGCCGGGCGTCTCAGTGGATCTCCTGACAGGGCCTGCTCACAGCTGGGCGTCTCAGTGGATCTCCTGACAGGGCCTGCTCACAGCCGGGTGTCTCAGTGGATCTCCTGACAGGGCCTGCTCACAGCCAGGCGTCTCAGTGGATCTCCTGACAGGGCCTGCTCACAGCCGGGCGTCTCAGTGGATCTCCTGACAGGGCCTGCTCACAGCCGGGCGTCTCAGTGGATCTCCTGACAGGGCCTGCTCACAGCTGGGCGTCTCAGTGGATCTCCTGACAGGGCCTGCTCACAGCTGTGCAGCCATGGTGGTGGGGAGGAAGGGAGCGCAGAACTCGGTCGGAGGGGGGAGGCTACCTTCCTCCAGGGAGACCCCTTTTGGTAGAGACTTTACAGAAGCTCAGGCAGTGCCATTGCCGGAAGCCCAGGTGACACAGGTGACCGGGCAGGAGCCACACGGTGAGGGTGACACAGGTGACCGGGCTGGAGCCACACGGTGAGCAGAGTTCGGCCGATGCTACCTAGTTCACCTCTCGGCCTCTCAGAGCTCAAGCACATGGGCCGACGGTTGCTGGTCTTTTTTTTTTGGGTGGGGGGAGGGTGGTTCTGGGAGGAGCTGATGACTTCCTGCTTATCCCTCTGTCCCTGAGCAGATGGGCACAGTGCTTACCTGTAGTCAACACTCGATCTATCTGTTTCTTTATTTCTTTTTTTAATTTGACAGGCAGAGAGTACTCCCACCTGCTGGTTTCCTCCCCCAAGCCCCACAGGAGCCAGGAACCAGAAACCCAATCTAGATCTCCCACATGGGTGGCAGGGACCCAGTCCTCGAGCCATCACTGCTGCCTCCCAGTCTGCCCTGGCAGGAAGCTGGAGTCAGGAGCTAGAGCTGGAAGCTGAACCCAGGCACTTGGGTGGAGGTGGCAGGCATGGTAACTGACAGTCTCAATGTCTGCCCCAGATGTTTTTAAATTTGGAATGCTGGAAACAAATGACAGGTAGGCATTCTGTTTGGGAATTAGGGCGGCAGGACTGATAACCACATCAAGCTCTCTGCACGGCACTACTGAACTGCAGTTACAGGATCAAATGCTAGTGGCTGACCTCCACCTCCCAATCTTTACCGAAGACCCGGGGAATGACGCTGAGTGTCGAGGGAACACCCTGCCGAGGAGGAGTGCCTGGAGCTTACTATGCAGCAGAGCCACAGCAGCGAGCTCACAACGTAGTGGAGGCAGAGAAGACGTGAGTAACGGAGAGACAGGCGGGCTGTGGCGAAGCTAAAGACAAAGTGTAAGAAGCAGAGGATGCAAGGAAGAGTGCACACGAAGTTCCCTGAAGAGCAGGAAGTCAGAACGGGCCTTGAAGACGCGCACCTGACCACACACGCTGGTTTCCCAAGGACTCCTTGTGCTTTTCACTTCTCATCTACAGCTGTGGATATGTCGATTTTTAAAAAAATATATTAGTTTATTTGAAAGGTAGTTGGCGGGGGGGGGACCTTCCATGCACTGATTCACTCCCCAGCATGGCCACACCAACCAGGACCAGGCCAGGCTGAAGTCATGCCTGGAACTCCATCTGGGTCTCCCACATGGGTGGTAGGAGCCCAGGCACTTGGATCACCTTCCGCTGCCTTCCTGGGCGCATTGGCAGGGAGCTGCATAGAAGTGGAGCAGCCGGGACTTGAACTGGTGCTCACATGGGACGCTGGTGTCGCAGGCGGCAGCTTAACCAGCTGCGCCGTAATGCTGCCTGAAATGTCAGTTTTTTGTGTCCGCAGACTAGAGAGAAGTTCGAGGCCTTTGCTTACCTGCCTTTGTAATTGTTGACATCGAACATCTTCTTCGCTCGGTAGTACACGAGTTTCCAGGGCCGGGCGATACCCTTACCTGCCATCAGAGGAAAGCGGTCAGTGCGGCAGGAGCCACTGTCCCTTCCTACGAGGGACACAGCACAGCCCCTTAACAACACTGACTGTCCCAGGCCTCGCGCCGGGGCGGGGCGGGCAGGTCACCGGCCTCGCGGGGAGCTCTCTGGGGCTGGGGAGCAGACGCACACGATCACCAGCTCCTCAGAGACTTCTGCAAACCAGACATTCCGTACTCAGGGGCTCCAGGGCCTGGTGTGCTCGCTGCATGGGGAAGACCCTTAGAAGCCAGAGTAATTTTACCATGGTTTGGATTGAGGCTCAGGAACGGTATTGTGGGGGTCCCAGGCTGCCGGTTCCCTGTGAGATGAACACACAGCTTTCCAGAGCAAGCCTCCCTCAGCCCGCTCTACGGATGGAGTGCTCCCGATGGGGCTCGCTCACACACACACACACGCACACACACGCACACCGGGATGAAACAGCGCTGTTTCTCAGCTCACCGATGTGCACTCGGAACGCGTGTCTTCTCTTTAAGCTGGTGACCCTGGCCTTCTCCTCTGGGTATCTGTCTGTGTGCAGCAGTTTGTCTGCGCTCTCAATTCCCGTCAGCGACAGAAATTCCTCCACGTTTTTCTCTAACTGCTTGTTCTCCTTCGCAGAAAACTTACCAAATTTAATAGCGACACCTAGGATTCAGAGGGTTGGGGACAGAAAGTTATGTCAGTAATGCTACGGATTCTTCCACAAGAAATCAGAACCCTAGTGCCACGGGCGCACCCTGCTGGTGCACCTGACACTCCCTCTCCCCATCCACCAGGGAGACAGACCTTTTCTTCAGAGGTCAGCCCGACCACACCCTCTCGCCTCCGTCCTTCCTGGCCACCCTACTCCCCACCATCTTTCCTGCTTCATCAATGTTTTTAAAACATTTATTTATTAGAAAAATAACACACACATATATATTTATTAGAAATTCAAATAGCATTGAAAGAAAAGTCCACCAGAAACTGCCCTTGGGCATTTAGCCTGGTGCCCACATCCTACGCTGGAGTACCCGAGAGAGAGAGAGAGAGAGAGAGAGAGAGAGAGAGAGAGACAGAGAGAATTGACTGAGATTTTCTGTCCTCTGGTTCACTCCCCAAATGGCTGCATAAATCAGAACTGGGCCAGGCCAAAGCCAGCAGCCAGGAGCTTCTTCCAGGTCTCTCACATGGGTACAGGAACCCAAGGGTTTGGATCATCTTCCACTGCTTTCCCAGACAAATTAACAGGGAGCTAGATCAGAAAGTAGAACAGGGGCCAGCACTGTGGTGTAGTGGGTAGAGCCTCCGCCTGCAAGGCCAGCATCCCATGTGGGCACTGGTTCAATTCCCAGCTGCTCCACTTCCGATCCAGCTCTCTGCTATGGCCTGGGAAACCAGTAGAAGATGGCCCAACGCCTTGGGCCCCTGCACCCACATGGGAGACCTGGAAGAAGCTCCTGGCTCCTGGCTTCAGATCAGAGCAGCTCCGGCCATTGTGGCCAGTTGGAGAGTGAGCCAGCGAATGGAAGACCTCTCTCTGCCTTCTCTCTTTGTGTAACTCTTTCAAATAAATAAATAAATAAATCTTTAAAAAGTAGAGCAGCCAGGACTTGAACCAGCGCCCATATGGGATTAAGATGCTGCAGGTGGTGGTTTAACCAGCTGCACCACAGCACCAGCCCCTCCTAGGGCTATTTTTAAAACATTTTATAAAATGCATACTTGATAGCTTCAACCCAGAATACACCAGTACAATGGGGTCATTTGCTACCGCTCTATAGGCTGTGTGCTTTGCTTTGGCTTCATTTGCTTATTTTCCTGAACTAATCTCTTCAACCTGTTTAATTCCACCAAGCTAATGCTTCTCATTTTACTTTGAGTTTATTTTCATTTTATTTGAAAGGCAGAGACAGATGGAGAGGGAATCTCCCGTTTGCTGATTCACTCCCCAAACTGCCAGGGTTGGGCTCTGCTGAGGCCGGAAGCCCAGATTCACCCCAGGTCTCCCCCCTGGGTAACCCAAGTCCCTGAGCCATCACCTGCCGCCTCCCGCAGTGGGCAGCAGCAGGAAGCTGGGACCCAGGCACTCCAGTGCGGCCTGCGGGCACCCTCAGCGGCATCCTGATGCTGTGCCCAGGGGCTCTAGCAGGTACCACTGCCTCCTGCTTTGCTTTTCCAAAGGCCCACACAGAGACACTCAGGATACTTGCTCATTGCAGTACACGGCCTTCAACCTGCAGCTGATTCTTAGACCCAGGGGCTTCCAGGACATTCTTTTTTTTTTTTTTTTTTTTTTTTTTTTTGACAGGCAGAGTGGACAGTGAGAGAGAGAGACAGAGAGAAAGGTCTTCCTTTTGCCGTTGGTTCACCCTCCAATGGCCGCCGCGGCTGGCGCGCTGCGGCCGGCGCACCGCGCTGATCCGATGGCAGGAGCCAGGAGCCAGGTGCTTTTCCTGGTCTCCCATGGGGTGCAGGGCCCAAGCACTTGGGTCATCCTCCACTGCTTTCCTGGTCCACAGCAGAGAGCTGGCCTGGAAGAGGGGCAACCGGGACAGAATCCGGCGCCCCAACCTGGACTAGAACCCGGTGTCCCGGCGCCCAGGACATTCTTGCAACACAGTGCAATCAAGGAGGCCAGGGTGGCCCCTCGAGACCACGCCCACTACAGCCAGCTCGCCCTCAGAGGAGTCTCTCGGGGAGACGCGGGGCCTCACCCAAGGTGCTGATGTTAATCTGAGGATGTGTTAGTTACACTACGGCTGTGTGCTTCCGCTTCTGTATCCTCATCCCCTGGAGTGTCTCAACTAACCTCCGTGCCTCCTCCTCTTCCAGTACTCGTCTCCTAGCCTGGGGATTGCTGGCCCGTCTGGCCCCGTTCCTTGCCTTCTTTACTAGAAATTGGGCAAGAAGGAAAGCAGGCACTTCGTTTTGTGAATTTCAGAACTCAGACACAGCGACTGGTAGGACAGAGGAGCTGCAAGCAGCTACCGGAGGCTTCTGGGGCGTCAGTAAAACCCCAGTCACCTGCAGAAGAAAAGTCACCGACAGAGCAGCCAGCAAGGTGCCGCCGGCTCACCTTGCGCCTTAAACTCCCGGAAGCGCTCCAGGTCATCCCGGTACATGCGCTGAATGGTGGCGGCCGCCCTGCGCTGGATGTCAGGAATGAACTCCCGGAGCTGCTGCACGGCGTAGTCCAGGTCCACCTCGGGGTCCCGCGCGTCCCTCCCGGCTCCAGGCGAGCAGCTCTCGTCAGGATCAGCAGCTGGCTCCCAGGTAGCCTCCTCTTCATCTGCAGGTTCGAACCTGGGGGGTGATCGACACCCACACATCATTGGGCCCAAACAGCTTTTAAACTCTTCCTCAAACAGCTCTAAGACTGCCAGTGGTAGAGCTGGCTGGGAGCTGGGGATGGATTCAGCTGCGGTTTCCGAGCCCCGCGGTGACCCGACGGGCCCGGAGTGAAGTCAGAGGCGGCCAGAGGCCGTGCGGGCCTGTGCAGTGCTTGCTCACCTTGTTAGCTCTTTGTTAAGACCCGGAGTTCTAACGAGGGAAGCTCTCTTCTGCCCCCACCAGGCTCAGGACACATCTCCCCCAGCCTCTCGAGGAGGGCCGCTTTATACTACACTGGCTGCCAATTTAGTTACACCAGCGTTCTCCTGCTGGGACTGTGGTTAGCGATGGCCTCAGTGTTCCTCTCGCTCAGCTTCCTTGTACCCAATTCAGTTCACCCCAAAGGTTCTGTCATATCTCTACTCTCCTAGCACGTTCAAGTCTATCAGTTGACTTCTCAGATAACACTGGGCGGAAGGCACCAGCTTTCAAATGGCCCACAGCCCAGTGGAAGTTCATCACAGCCCTGGAATACTCCTGCCTCACCATCAGTGCTCCAAAAATATTCCCAACAAGCTGGCAGTAGGATGCGGCGGGCCCGCGGGCCCAGAGATGACCATCACCACCCGAGGTGGCGCCCTGCTCCCGTGACTTTTCCATGAAACAAGATACATGGAAAAGTCACTTCATAAAAATGGGGAGAGAATCGCACTGAGACCCAGGAACTGTGAAAGTGGTTGAAAAAACAAAAAAACGGCCGGCGCCGCGGCTCACTAGGCTAATCCTCCGCCTAGCGGCGCCGGCACACCGGGTTCTAGTCCCGGTTGGGGCGCCGGATTCTGTCCCGGTTGCCCCTCTTCCAGGCCAGCTCTCTGCTGTGGCCCGGGAGTGCAGTGGAGGATGGCCCAGGTGCTTGAGCCCTGCACCCCATGGGAGACCAGGAAAAGCACCTGGTTCCTGGCTCCTGCCATCGGATCAGCGCGGTGCGCCGGCCGCAGCGCGCCGGCCGCGGCGGCCATTGGAGGGTGAACCAACGGCAAAGGAAGACCTTTCTCTCTGTCTCTCTCTCTCACTGTCCACTCTGCCTGTCAAAAAAACAAAAAACAAAAAAAAATAAAAAAATAAAAAAAAATAAAAAAAAAAAACAAAAAAACAAAACAAAACAAAACAGAAAACAGTATACTCAAATGACATTTATATAAATAATGAAACCAGCCGGCGCCGCGGCTCACTAGGCTAATCCTCTGCCTAGCGGCGCCGGCACACCGGGTTCTAGTCCCGGTCTGGGCGCCGGATTCTGTCCCGGTTGCCCCTCTTCCAGGCCAGCTCTCTGCTGTGGCCCGGGAGTGCAGTGGAGGATGGCCCAGGTGCTTGGGTCCTGCACCCCATGGGAGACCAGGAAAAGCACCTGGCTCCTGGCTCCTGCCATCGGATCAGCGTGGTGCGCCGGCTGCAGCGCGCCGGCCGTGGCGGCCATTGGAGGGTGAACCAACGGCAAAGGAAGACCTTTCTCCCTGTCTCTCTCTCTTACTGTCCACTCTGCCTGTCAAAAAAAAAAAAAAAAAGAAACCTAAATTTTTTATGTTAGGGAGAATTCCTTTTTTTTTTTTTTTTTTTTTGCTAGTTTGTAGCATTCTAAGTGTTACATATCGAGCCATCCCTACGTATCGAGCCATCCCTCCAGCTGCAAGACTCCAGACAAAGGTAATTTTGTGGGTCTTTAAAACGGCTTTTTTTTTTTTTTTTTTTTT